AAAGCAAGGCAGAGCACCACCTGTTCCTGTGGTTAATGCAGACTTTTCTGCTACACTCACATTCGGTGGGAAAATGTATCAGTTTTATTCCAGAATGAAGAAGGTGCGAACATTAGGGATGGCACTAGGTCTTGAAACCTAAACACATGTCTTTTCAATGTTCTGTGTGAGGAGATGGGACGTACACATGGAGGGCTTAGACAAGCTACGGGTAGTCAGAACTAGGTATCTGGAAGACATTTTCTGGAAAATGAAAGAAGTGAGTCCATCACTTCAATTGCTAAGGTTGCCAATGATAAAGTTCAAGCCTTCAAGTACAAATTAGAATTTGGGAAGACTTGAACCTATTACCAAAAGCTTGACACCTTGAAAACTTACAGATTTCTCATAATAGTGGTGCTACTATGGGCGCCTGGATGGCTCGGTCATGAAGCATCTGCGTTTGGCTCAGGTCATGGTCCCAGGGTCCTGGGATCAAGCTGCGCATCCGGCTCCCTGCTCGGCGGAAAGCCTGCTTCTCCCTCTCCCACTCCCCCTGCTTGTGTTCCCTCTCTCTCTGTGTCTCTCTCTGTCAAATAAATAAATAAAATCTTTAAAAAAAAAAAGAGTGGTGATACTAACAAATATGACTTTCTTAGTATTTTACAATGTAATAGGTCAATATTTAAAAGAGCCTGAAAATCTCAGTGAACCCTTATTTTCCCAATGACCAATGCATGATGTTACAAAGTCATCATGAGTAAAAGATCCATTCAAAGTAGGAGGCTGCCCAATGGATTTCACAGTCACAGAGTACAAAAAATTCACTCATTTGTCTTTAGATTTCACACTGCAACTAAGCTTTAAGAAGCCACCACTCCTCGAGTTCGGGTGTGGCATCAAAGAAGAATAACCTCATTCATCTGAAAAGCCTATTAAAATAGTCCTCACTCGACCCTTTTCCAACTACTTATCTGTGTGAGACCCGATCTTCTTCATATGTTACAACAGCCTAAAGATAGAAATAGATATGAGGATTCAGTTGTCTTCTACTAAGCCAGACATTATAAAGGGATTTGGAGAAAATGTAAAACAAGGCCACTCATGAAAACTATTTTGGAAAATATGGTTGTTTCTCATTAAAAAAAAATGTGTGTGTGTGTGTGTGTGTATTATTCATGTTAACACGTAACGAGTTGTGTTTTTTTAGAGGTTTCTGTTTAAGTTTCAAATGCATAAACACCCGTAGATAACTTACATAAACGAAAGCTCTTTTGGGGTCTTCAATAACTTTTCACTGGTATAAATGTGTTGGTCCTAAGATCAAAAAGTTTGAGAAATGCTGTACTAGCGAATGAGATGAGCTTCACACAACCAAAATGACGGGCCATACATCCACATAAAGGGCTGGTGGGGGGTATTAAGTCTAATTTATTGGTGGAACCAAGACCACACCCTGACAGCTCTAGAGTGAGAGCATCGCCCACATGGCTGGCTGCCCTGGCAACCCACACCTGGGGCAGCACAACCACCCAGAGGTGGAAAGGTAACAAGGAGAGGGTGTGACTCGTAGAATGAGCTAGCCAATTGTCTCATCGTAACTGACAGCAGTAGGTTACTGGGCTTTAATCATATACTGGAGTATAAGAGGAGGGGGAAGAAGAGGTTACAAACTAACTTAAATGTTACTGAGAATAGGGAACCAAGAGACAATAACCCAATAAAGAGAGGACGAGGGATAGTATAGAAAAATTCTGTATAAAGGAAATCATTGGAACAAAAACATAAACCTTTCTAAATACCCAAAGCATACCAACACAGAGAATAAAAGCAAAGAACAAAACAACAACAAACTCAGCTGCTTATTAAACACACACACACACACACACACACACACACACACACACCCCTAAAATAAACAATGGAACCATAACCGCTTCTTAGTATTCCCTAGGGTAAAGGACAAGGACAGAAGTTAAACCTCTTCAAATATACTTTGTTTTAGAGATCTGACTTTGGAACAAGGTACCTTTTTATATAATTACAAAATACAATCAGTTTTTAAAAACTAGTCTTCCTGATTCAAAAACAACGTGAAACAAACGCATCTAAGTGATTATCCTCCGTTGGAGGCCCAGGCAAAGGAACAAAGAACCAAGTCCGACTCCAGAACCTGGGGGGCATCCGCTAAGAACAGAAAGAAGGACACAAGACCAAACAACATACAACATCCTTCCAGTTGCTTTAGGTAATGGTCTGTGGTTAGTAGGCTAGTATTATTATTCTGAATCTTCAACTCATAATGATTTTTGTCTTTAAAGACAACTTCCTAGCTCTGTCCAGTGAGAAGACCTAGCATGAAAGACTGACCCAGAAGCCACAAGGAGCCCTGAGAACTCAGGGTGGGGCCCTGAAGGGCTATTTCCCACAGGATGAGACAACTGGAAATCTGAACCCTGGTTATTTAATGACTTTAGGAATAGCTGATAATTTTTAGAGGGGTGTGTCATTGGTATTGTGATTATGCATTTCAAAGAATTGTGTATGTTATAGAGAAGCATGCGTACTGCAATGCTGACTAGAAAATGATTCTACATCTGGGATTTGTCAGGGACTTGCTGGTGGCGGTGGGAACTGGGTGGCACTGTGGATGAAGCAGGGTTGGCCCCAAGAATCGGCAATATTGGACCCATGGTGAGTCACATGGGTTTACGGTACTTTGTCTACTCACACAAGTTTGAAATTCTGCATGGTGGGATGTGAAGAAAAAGGTTCTAATCAAATTCTGGCCTCAATCTCATCCTCTACCCCATCCTGTGTAGTTCTGTTTGCTTTTTACTTTGTGCATGGAAGCCTTCCAAGAAGGTGTAATAGGAGTAAGGAAAGGAGAGAGAAAGATCAGGGGTGGGTGTCCTGTTCCCTAGGGTGGATTTCCCTAATCCAGAAATGCATCCTAAACTTAACAACGGGCGTTAATCATCTTGTGCAAAGACTGAGGTTTCCTCTTTGATAACGACTCTCACCTTTGGGTACCCTGCACCGGGACCTGACTGAGCGCTTTCCCCTGTCTAACTACATTTATTCCTCCATTCCCATCATGTCACCCCACCCACCACACGAGGACAGCTCACAGCCCTGGGGGGTGGCAGAATGGGGACTGAAACCAGGTCTGCGTGACACCTAACCACTGTGCTGCAGGGTCCACTCCATCATCTCCATAGAAACCTAGTCACCCCATAAGTTCTAAATGACCAGTGCTGAAAACAGCACATCAGACTCTCTTCAGAGTTTTTTTTTTAAGAAAATGAGCTCCAGAATGTGGGCGATTTTGAGAGAAGTGGGAACCCCAGTGGTGTCGCAGAAGGGGTTTAGGACAGGGTCTGCACAGGACCAGAGGGCCTAAGACGGATCGGAGGTAGAGGTGACCCGGAGGCCCTGCCCACACGGGTCTGAGAGCCGCACTGAGGATATGAAGTTGTCATGCGCGACCAGGAAGCCCAGAGAGTGTGAATGGAGCCGAGTGTTCTCATCAAATGGAATATGGAGCAAAGTTCACGTAAGTGTGTTTAATGACATGCTTCCTCACTACTGACTAACCCAACATGCCCTGAGCGGTTACCTCTTGGCATGCGTATGTACAATTAGCGCTACTTTTGGTACAGCCAAACAAAACATTTCTGGGAGGCGGAGACATGGGGCAAGGCTGGAGGCTGTTCTGGAATCTCTCTGGGACTCAGAGGCAGTAACTGGTGAGTGTGTCCTGCTGGTCCCACCTCGGTTCGAAGCCTCATGTGATCTTCCCCTTCCCCTGGGCAGGCTTGTGAGCTTCAGGGGCCCCAGGCGGAACCTCCTTGGTTTCCCCACTGGGTCAGACACACAGGGCTCCTGTCCTCCCACCCACCCAGGGCTCCTCGATCGGCGGTGCTCTCACCAGACCGCAGATCACGGGTGGAGAACTTCTCGTCCTCGCTTGCTGAGGAGCCGCTGGAGGGTAGGGACACACCTTCCTCCTCTCACTGCCTCTGAGGCCATCTAGGCACACAGGTGTCACCCAGGGAGGAAGACAAGGCAGAAAAGAGAAAGGAAGCATAAAGAAAGGGGGAGCACTGACACCCCCAGACTGAAGCCATGATGGGGGAGGGTACCTCAGGAAGTCCTGCTGCGGAAACGTGTAAGAAAAGTTAGCAGAAACTGTGCTTTCTACCTTTCCAGACCCGAACGTGGACATGAGGGAGCTTTCAAAGTCTCTCCTAATCTAGCTGCTTCAAGGCTGAAGCTCCTCGTTCACTCCCGCCCCTGAAAGGACAGTCCCCGTCCCACGGGGAGAAAAAAATCCCTGACTTCATCAGTGTGAAAGCAAGGCCCAAATACCTTGCAAAACCCAAGCTGGCGTATTGTCGACAGTACGTAGTTATGTGCAGTTCAACGTAACTACAGTAGCATCATAGAAGCTACTGGATGTCCCTGAGGTCCTGCTTCAGGAACAACATGGCCAGCGCTACAGGTGTGGTGTGTGGCAACATCACTTATTCACACTCAGTCACTTATTCACTTACTCAGTCCCACGGCTGCTCGTCTTCTCACGGAGTCCAAAGCCCACGGCAGCCCGTCCATACCCAGGAAGCCACAGGCTACGCCTGGGTGACGTCACCCCGGTGACATGGGGATGATGGATGTTAACCTGGACGGTCTGAGAGCCAGACCACGCTTCCGACTTTGCCCTCGACCTTGGATTACTGGAAAGCCAGCCATACTGGGGTCTGGGTGTCTTTGAGCAAGAAAGCTGAAGGATACGAGTGTAAAACAGGGTGAGACTATGTTAAGTCCTGGCCACATCCATGAAAACATGAAGACACAGAACTGGCTGGCCTTCCAGGTGCTCAGGGACGCCATGTTCCTGAAGAAACTGAATGCTCAGCGGGAGCTTTCCAGCACCATCTCCCAGAATGGTGATGCCGGCATTTCCCATTCACACTCCTCCCGCTCTGCAGGGAGCCCGGCCCAGCCGCAGGAAGCCCCACCTGTCTCCCTGGAGACCTGGAGCCGCTGGCCATTGCAGAAGGCGCCCCGGCCCCTCCGGCCCGTGTACAGCCGCTCCTCTGTGCAGTGGTAAATCACTCCAAATTCGAGCTGCGGGGTGCAGGGGCAGGATGGAAAACAAACGTGCTTCACTCATTTGACCCAGAAAATCACAAAGCAGTTCAGAGGGGGACGATTCGAGGTATTATGACCCAGGTGATGGAAACTGCCTCTCAAAGGGGAATTGGGAAAGAAATTAGCTTCTTGGTCCAAAACTGGATATGCAGGCAAATGGTCTCTTCCAAAACAGCCTACTTAAAAATATACTAAAGCAGGGGCGCCTGGGTGGCTCAGTGGGTTAAGCCTCTGCCTTCGGCTCTGGTCATGGTCCCAGGGTCCTGGGATCGAGCCCCACATCAGGCTCTCTGCTCAGCAGGGAGCCTGCTTCCCTTCCTCTCTCTCCCTCCTCTCTGCCTCCTTGTGATCTCTATCTGTCAAATAAATAAATAAATAAATAAAATCTTAAAAAAAAATACTAAAACGAATGCAGGTTTATTAAAAATTAACCTCATAATCAAGCATTAGGAGCTGAAAGTTACTGAAAAAGCTGAATTCTTCAGAAAGGCCCCTGTTTTGAGGGGTGGGGGACTGGAGGAGGCTACTTGTGACTAACGCCTCCCCATAAGAAACTCTCAAAGCTGCTGATGTGTCAAAAATTAAGAATACATCTGTAAAGCCGAGGGGATCAGACTCAAGGACGGCCAAGGAGGAGAGGTGAGTCACCAAGGAGGGGCGTGGTGCCAAACTGCAGCCACACTGCGTAAGGCAGGTGACAAATGCCTCCAACAGCAGCCTACTAGTTGGAAACAGTAAAAAGAAGAGGCGCAGCAAGGGGAGAAAAATGCGGCCTTACACTCCCTTTGTTTCTTTCTTCCTCCTCCGACTTGTCACTATTCAGGGTTAACGGGCGAGTGTGTATGTGATCGGGGGTGGGGGGGGGGTTGGTCATGTTTTGCCTTCCTGGAAAATGAAGAGAGACCCAGGCCCAGTCTCTCGGGAGAGTCTCGGCTGGCCTGGGGTGAGCTCGACCACAGTGGAATGGACTCCCCGACAGGGCAGGAAAAGGGTTTATTTCTGGGGAGGATCACGCAGCTAGCTTTCCAGCAATCCTTAATTCCCTTCCCCTGCTTCCCACCACCCTGGCTTTAAGGGGGTTCCCAAATCAGGGTAGTCCTAGAACCATGTGGGCCTCTAGACCCTGTGCCCCTGGGGTGGGTCAGGTGCCAGGAGACCTTTGCTAGCAGGAGGGAAGGGTGAAGGTATAAACTTCCCTCGGTCTCTGTGCTAGGGAACCACTGCTAGCGTTGAGGATGAAGGTGAAAACACTGAAACAGTGCCTAGTAGAAGGTTGTTTTCAGAAAATACCAAACCCCCAGTCCTATTTAAATATAACTGCTGTGGGGTGCCTGGGTGGCTCAGTGGGTTAAGCCTCTGCCTTCAGCTCAGGTCATGATCTCAGGGTCCTGGGATCGAGTCCCGCATCGGGCTCTCTGCTCATCAGAGAGCCTGCTTCCCCCCCTTCTCTCTGCCTGCCTCTCTGCCTACTTGTGATTTCTCTGTGTGTCAAATAAATAAAATCTTAAAAAATATAATAAATAAATAAATAAATAAATAAATAAATAAATAAATATAACTGCTGTGACCACACAGAAGTGAAGGCTTTCCTAAGCATTACTGCTTAAATTGATTAATGCTTGACGCAGATCTCATGATGCTGCTCACCTCCAAGGTGATGGGAACCCTGAAGCAGCCGGGTTCTCATGCTAACAGCTAGGGAAAGATGGAGAAGAATGACTGAAAGATGGGGATTAAAAATGTCCTCCCAAAATAGGAGTTTCTTCTGTGTGGAACTAGATCACACGCCCCAGGGGTCAGAGGGAAACTAATGTGGGGCATTTTCTCAGAACTTTCCCTTCCACGCTTCTCCAGCAGCATCCCAGAAAGACCATGGTGGAAACAAGGGCCCGCCACCATGGAGGTGGGCCAGCCATGGAGCCCCAAACCCACACACCCCAAAACCAGTTTTCCTTTGTTTACTGTCTCGGATCTCAAAAAGAAACATACATGGGTTTACTAATCATGACTAAGGCACGTGACAAAGACAGCGAAATGGAGTACAGGGATCAAGTCCAAAAAGGACGATGCTAAGTCAGGCCCAAGGGGTTCAGGACCCCTCCAGCACACACCTCTTGGTCAACAGCAAATCCGATGCTTACTGCCACGGTGGGAAACCTGCAAAGAAGAACAGAACGGTTCACCCTCTGAAACATAAGTGGTCTCATGCAAACTCTCAGCAGCCTCTGTGCAGCTGTGCTACGCAGCATTGTCACTGGAGGCACAGAAGGACCTTTCTACAGTGTGGGTGGGTTTGTTTTTTTAAAAAAATTACTTCCCACAACTTCACTAACTGCTTCCAAGACAAACAGGCTTAGTGGACTCCGGTGTGTAAGATAGCTGACCTTGAAAGAAAGCAGTATTCTCAAAGTCACGTACGGCTGCTGTAATTCAACAATGACCACCAAGTACCCAATGGAGAGGGATTTTAATGGTCAGTTTTCTGGTCTTCAGAGACATAAAGGGACAGTAGAGACCTCCAAAAAGGCCAGACCCATGTTCCTGGTGAGGTGAGGAGGGATCCCCAGGAAGTGACATCATAGCCTCCTACTAGAGGCTAGGTCGGGGTGACAATACCCCCCCGCCCATCTCCTGAGTGAGCTCAAAAGCGGCCAACTGCAGGCCTGGGCCAGAGCCATCAGAGGCGGGCTGTGACATCGCAGATTGCCTGTGGTTTTATTTTGTGATTTTGTTGTCCCTGTGGCACCTCTTCGAAATAATCCCTCTTTTATGTGAAGATCAGGAGAGCTTACCAGCAGCTGGGTGCTACTAACCTACAGGAAAACTATGAAACCAGTCCTCCACAGAGGTGAGCCCAGACTCAGGCCGCGGCAGCCGGCACAGTCACCTGGCAGTTGGCTCGATAGGCAAACACACCACATGCCAGGCTCCACTTTAGGTACCTGGGAAAGCTCTCCCCGACCTGCTTCAGCCCTGACGCTGCCGGACACAAGAAGGAACGGACGCTCTCTGAGCTGCGGTGGCCAAAGGCTTCTGATGTCTCTAGGCCACTAAGATCACTGTGCTGCAGCCCCTGAAGTGTTCTGGAACCGGGGCTGCAAGAGGCCCTCAAGGGGCTGTGTGGGTGTCACCGCATGACAAGCAGAGAGAAGAACAGGAGGGGAGACCTGAGCCTCCACCCTCATTCCTGCGGGGCCGGGGGGGGGGGGGGGGGGGGGGGGGGGTTGTCAGGCTTTAGCTTGCATTAGTCTGTTGACGCTGTTGTGGTCACCAGATGGCACTGTTCCATTGCCCCGAAAAGGCAATGTACGGGCACGACTGACTGACTACATTCTCAAGCTAACTAACCCATGTTAACAAAACCCACCTCATAGGTCAGGATGACTTTACATACTGACACATAAATACGCCATCTGAGGCCAAGCACAGAGGGCAGCCCCAAGAAGCCCCCCTCTGTGCTGATACTTTTTCATTTTTCAGAAGGAAACGGAGTATCTCCTAGTCATCTGGGGAGAGGGCTCTCAGAATGGGGTTCTGCACTGCTGGTGTCGATGCATGCTGGGGAGAAATGCTGGCCTGGAATGGACAGGGGAGGGGCCTGGAACCCGTGCCAACCAGCTCTCCAGGAGGCCCCTCATGTGTTCATGCCAGAGAACCAACCACCTATGGAAACCAGGCCCCATCCAGTGCTCTTCTGTCCTTGGACAACTCCGACGCCCATCCCACCGGTCAGAGCTTCTAGAGTCGAAGCCATGTCCTGATCACCTCCCTGAGCTCGCCTCCCCGAGCTCGCCTCCCCTCTCCCTGATGGCCTCTCTGACCTCCCTAAACCCTCCTGCTTTGTGGCTGTTATTTGCTCTGTCAGATTAGGCCTGGCCCGCTGCCGGGGGGTTCCTCATCCCGCCTCATGGCTGCAGGAGGCTTGCTCTCGTCTCCACAGGCAGCTGTGGAAAGCCAGCCCTCCGGCACTGCTGTCTACACCTGTGCTCCTGCAGCTGCTGGACCACACACGCCTGTTTGTCCAGGGCATACTTAAGGGGTCCTTCTTAATTCAACCCAGCATTTTAAAGATGACAAACATGACAGATTTAAACAAATTAAGTACTTTCTACATGCTGAGAGTATCTCACAAATGGAACACCTCACTTTAAAAAAGACCAAAACATGACCACCTTTTTAATGAGCCTATCAACCTCCTAGAGGTTTGTCTATATACTCCTGCCTCAAAAAAATGCTGTTTGGGGAAAGACAAAGTCTGAGAGAAGAGGACAGGTTAAGGACCAGACGAGGGGTGGCCCGTGCTGACGCTCACCTATGCACGAAGTTGCAGGTGCCGTCAATGGGGTCGACGATCCAGGTAGGGCTGGGGGTAAGCACGCACTTGGCCCCGGCGGCTGCAGACTCTTCCGCGATGAACCTGTGGTGGGCAGGAGCTCGGCCTGAGAACACTCACCAAGCACTCAGGACAAGGCGCTTCGAACTGCTTCCGGTCCCATCAGAGACCAAGCAGACACCGCGGAAAGCTCATCACGGCTTCCCCAGGGCCAGCAGAGCAGTCTGTGAAAGACCGGCTGCTCTCGGAGCCGTCGGCCAGCCTGCTTACTCGGCAGGACTCGGAACACATGAAGTGACGCCTCCACGCAGGAGACCTGAGAAAGCATGGGGGGAGGGGGCGGTGAATGGGCCAGGGGGACAAACACGAGAATGGAGAACACTGGGAAACAGACCTTACAACGCAAAGCTAAACCCTGCTCTAACTTGGGTCTGGAGGAGAAAAGGCTGAAGACAGACGATTAAGAGTGTGAGCAATGCCTGCCAGGGAGCAATGCCGGCCGGGGAGCAGGGCCCAGGACTAGGGCTTTAGCTCTCCTCCCACCTCCGGTAGTGCTGTGGCTGGGGGGGACTGAAGCTGGACCCGAGGCACTGAGTGTCACCTACCGCTGACAGCTCCCGGCTATGTCCCCAGCCTGGCTGCCTCTGAACTGAAGACAATGTGACAGCTGGAGCCGCCCACCATTCGGGCTCAGCAGGAGCTGCCATCATCTCCTCAGAGGCCCCTTCCATCCCAGTATCTGGTCGAGGAGCCCCTCAGTGGGCCACACCTTCTCCTTCATGCTCTGGCAGCCAGCTTGTAGGAACATGGCCAGCCCCGGCTGTGTACTGTCCGTCACCAGTGAGACTGGCCTCTGCTCCCAGCCCCCCAACCTTTATCATTAGTTCTTTGTACACAAGGCCTCTCAGAACCATCCTCACTCGGGCAGAGGCTATTTCCCATGAGGAACCCCAAGAAGGAAAACGCATCCCAATAAAGCTCACACAACAGGGCTCGGCACACTGAGTGTTTGGTCCATGTCTCTGTCACGTAACAAACCCAGGTCCACTGAGGGTGGGGCCTTTGGCCCATGTACCGCCTTGTCACCAGGGCCTGGTCCACGGCAGGCGCTGAGCAAACACGTGTTCTATGCGTGAATACCAGGCCTTGTGGAGAGCTTTCTAGCAGCTTCTCACGCTATGTCCACGTCTATACTGGAGAAAAAGGAGACCTGAAGACAACAGGTGTTTACTAAGCAGGATAAATGAGTGAAAAACAAGAAGTGTTCACTGTTCTTCTTTTGCCATCCGGTGTGTTGTCAGCTACGGCCATCAGGCAGCTGCTTACCCCTGAAGAGACCAGAGCAGTCCCCTTCTGCTTGGCCTTGAATCGGCCCCGGGAACCACCTTCTCCAGAGGAACCAGGGGTCCTAAGATGTGGCAGCAAGGAACTTGCAGAGGAGACAGACATCACACTCGATAAAAGCACCGAGCTGGCAACTTCTCCACACAGCATGGTACCAATGAGCTACGTGTGGCTGTTTAAGGTTAAATAATTTAAATTAAATGCAATCTCAAAAAACTAAGAAGTTCTTTACTTTCACTAGTCGCATCTCAAGTGCCATCCTCATTCGCCACACTGAGAGAGAAGAACCAGGGCTGTGCGTTCTGATGTCACTGCTCGTCACCCCAGCACTGGCCCCGGAACCACGAGCCCTGGAACTCATCTGGAGCCACCCCTTTCCATTTCAGGGACTACGAAAGTCATGCCCTCCATGGCACACACCAAGTCGTCTACCTACCCCTCTGAAAAAGGATCGGAAATCAGTCTGTGTGTGTGAGGAGTGCACATGTTATCGTTCTCAGGTTATCACATGTTTCCACCTCCCCCCAGCTGCTGCCCCTTGCAGAAGCCCCCGCAGCAGAGGCAGAACACGGGGACCTGACGAATGGCTGTGGTGCAGAGAAAGCCAGGTTGAGCAGCCTGCACCCAGGAGCTTACAATCTAGAGATGCACGGGCTGCCACTTCCTTGCTTTTGTTTGCTCCTGGTCCCCTCCTCCTGCTGGGAACTGTGTCCCTGTCCTCACTCCCCTCCTCGGGGTTTTGGGTCCAGATCATGTGATCCAGACAGGCAGGTCTAGATGGCAGATACAGCGTGGTGAAAAGACAGGAAGTTGGAGGAGCCAAGCCAGGCAGGGCACGGCCAGGCTGGGACTCCCGACCACTGCATGGAGGCAGGAGACGGGCGTGCAGAGTCACCAGTGATTATGCGTGGCGTGAGCTCTGCCAAGTTTTCTTAGCCAAAAACTTAAGAAATTACATCTCCTGTCAATGTCTTCTATAGCTACGTGATTTTCCTCCCATGCAATGGCTTGTGATCATGTTTCCAAAAACAAGGGTCCACACCCTAAAAACATACATATATAGGGATCAAGTGCCAAAGCTCAAGTTGGGTACAAGGTGAATAAAGCAGAGAGATGACTTACCTTCTTTCAAGATAGAACTGGAAGCGACTTGCTTCCAAAGATAAATTTCTGAGAACGGAGGAGGAATGTGGAAACTTCTTCCTTTTTAAACCCGATTCAGGTGGGAAGCTGGTACCTACTAGTGTTGTGGGGTCTCCTGGGAAGGAAGGGGGAGAGTGCCTCTGCAGGGCTGGAAGCAAACATTTGTGTCAGGGAGCACAGACCACAGTGCACCGAGGGGGCTTCTCGGGACACGCAGGGCCAGGAGGGCTGGCTGCTGGCTCACCAGCATAGCAGGTGGGACGGACAGGGGCTACAGGGTCACCAAGCAGCATGTTTAAAGGAGCACCCACAGTGCTCCTGTCCATGCGGCTTTTGTTCTGCACAGAATTTCTGGAAGCACTCAGAGGAGCCACACCAAGACCTGGACTTTCCCAGCAGTGGATCACACCCAAGAGTTCTCCTCGTCTCTACTCAGCTGCCTGAGTCAACCCAGGGAGAAAGAGCGTCCATCAACTCACTGTTGGCTCCGCACCTGTGGTGGCACTTTGGGACAGGGCCTTGGACCGTGTCCACTCCTCTGAGGTACCAAAAATACCTCCCTGGTATGTGAGGAGGGATGGAGTCTATCCACTGAAACCTGACTGTCTTCATGTGGGAAGTGGAGAGAACATTCTTCCACTCTCTGCTGAAGGAGTGGGGACATCAACTTAGACAGATGGAGGTGTGAAATAACAGACCTTAATAAAAGCACTGGGACACCTACATAAAATCCATAACATCAATAGAAAAGGACAGTCTGTGTGCCTAAATTTAGGGAGCTCAAGGGCCTTTTCATAAGCCCATCTACCATACAAGAGGAGAGCAGCAACTGGGGTCAGGTTCAAAGCTTGGTAACAAGTTAGAACGATATCCTGTTGCATAATTTAACTACTTTTTTTTTCTTATAGTCCTAACAAACCCTTATAATTTTGACAGCCAAGTGCATCTAGGCCTTTGTTCCCTGGCTAGTTTGTTTACTCTGTGACAAGGTCAGGGTCACCCTTGAGTTCACTAGGGAGCCAATTAACGCTCCTAGGCCTGGCCAGCGTTGCAGCAGGCTCTACTGCCCGATGACATGAGTACCCAGCTCAAAACCTGGTGGGAAAGTGGTAGAAAGCAAGCAGTTAGCCAGTGGTGGCTAGCAACATAGTTTATTCCAAGCCTGGGGCACACAGGGCATGCTGCAGGGCCTGGGAGTCACCACAATGGATGAGGCTATGTCCTGCCGAGGGGAGCCCAGACCAGGACAGAGGAGGTGGCTGGGTGTCCCTTGCAGCCCCAGCTGCTCTCCTCCCTTTGCCCACACCAACCCAGACAAAAGGGACACAGACAGGGTGTATATAAATATGGTTCAGTGATGCTACTGAATATTTCCAAAGTTGCAGAACTTGGATCTGACTCAAAATCATCAACTAAAAACAGGTTTAGGCACTGCATAAAGGCAGGCCTGGATGGCGACTGAGCTAATGTGGTCAATGCCAGTCCTGTGCTTTAACTGTCAACCTTGACCTGCTGGTTTAGTTTCTGTCATTACCACCATACGATGACCTTGGCCGGGTGCCTTGGTCCTGGATGAGGAGGCTGAGACCCTGAGAACGGGTGACTTTCCAAAGCTGCAGACAGTAGCAGGTTTAAATTTTACAGTTCTTTGGTTCAGTGGACTCCCGTCTTCCAGCTTGGGGACCCGGACTTTGGATTTCACAAATGAGCACAATAAAATAATAAAACAGGGAGCCTACACCAGGTTGTTTCTTTATTAAAAACAAAACAGTTGTGATCTTTAATAGTTTTGTAAGTGACTAAAAATGGGGACCAGCATACACTCAGAATAACAGGAAATCCTTCCTAAAAAAAGGATAATAGGCCAGTTTAGGCTAACTTATTGTTTAAGGGATATATTTAAATACTCTGAATGCAGAAAAATTACAATACGCTATTTTACTATGTGTATTCCATGTTTTCTCGTTGCAAATTTATCAATTTGTCCATGACCTAAAATACAATTAAATACTCCCAAATTTGTTTAAATCTCATCATTGGCAAAACGAACAAACAAAAAAACAAACAAACAAAAACCCCACTCCACACTTGGCATAGATATGTTGAGAAATTATTTCATCTACCTGAATTTTCTAGGCAAACCAAGCAGAGCAGAAGCAGGACATCCAGGCTTCCCTGAGTTCTGGTGTTGGCCTCGGAGCTGAGAAGCAAGTGGCAGAGAGCCAGGGGTGACCATGGGGCAGCCCCATCTCATCCCTCCTGGCCTGGCTGGCACGAGCTGGAGGCGGTTTGGGAACTGCTGCTCTAAATCACGGCTTCCTGGTCAGGTGTGTGTGTATCTGCCTCTCCCAGGGCTTTTTCAGACACGGAGGCCTGGCATTAGCAGTTTGGAGAAGCGCAGGTAGGCCTGGCTCACAACCTAGGCAGGGTCCACTGCTCTGGGTCAATGGTCTTCCAAAGGGCCTTCGGAGTTTGGTGATCCCCTGGCGACCCCGGGCGGCAGGGTAGAGCAGGGGTGGGGGGGGTGGGTTCGATCACTCATACAACACACTGACTTTTATCCTGGGATGTGCGGCAATGAATATCTAAATACACCTTGTACGAATGGAATCCACGCCCCATACTGACCCAAGAGTGGACCCAAACCACTTAGCAACTGTTGCCAACACATGCGACACGGGTGTAATTTCGGAATTCGGGTTCTCAGGAGGAATCTAGCAAAAACCTGCTGGAAGCCTGATTAAGTATGTCTGGTCTGCGGTGACCTCCAGGCCTTGACCAGGACCCCACAGAGCCGAGCCAGCTGTAACCTCCGCCACAGCCATCTGGGCCAACACCATAGAAACCTCAAGTACCAAAACAGTTCCTCAACCAGAAACACCGTGTTGGCTACTGAGGCCTTTTTCCTCTCGAAGGGTTAAAGCAATCTACAGAATTCTTTGGACATTTACCATTTAACTTGCATTTCAAGAAGTTAAAAAATCACAAACATTTTAGAGCTTGTAAATATTAAAACAGATGTCAGGAATCCCGACTTCACACTAAATAAGGAAGTAGGAAATAACAGACGTTCACACACAAAGGTTGTCCACAAAACAAACCAAAACAAACATGACCTGTTGGCAGAGAGAATTTCTAAGGGAGAGTTGGTGACCCTGAGATGACCTAACCAGTTAGGAGGAAAAGAGAGAGGAAAAAGCAGGTATCTTTGAATGCCGGCTTGTCCCTTCTTTCACTTAATCATTCACAGGGGGAAAACTCCAACACGCCCACCCTGTGCCAGACAGACGCTGAGGGAGGCCGCTCTCCATGTGTCTGCTGTAAGCCCATCAAACATGGAACCTTACTGCAATCAGTGACCCATGCCCAGAAATCCAAGAGCTCCTACTCCAGTCTCCTGCGTGGGGAGAGGGAGCCCTCCCATCGGAGGCAGTGGGTTCCAACTCTCTTCTGCAGAGCTCCAGGGGCGATGGAGGGCCTGAGGACCACCCCCACCCCTTGCCCAGAGCTCAAGGGGAATTTTCCTCTGAGGCCTAGGGTTCCCTTGGAACTAGAAGCAAAATGCTGCGTATGTATTTGAATTTTCCTGAGGAAAAGATTAATGGTTTTCACTGGATTCTCCACAGGGTGACCCCAAAAGGGTTAAGAACTTCTGCTCTAGAAAAGAAGGTGGAGTCTTTGTAAGGGCCTTCTAGGATGGAGAGCAGCCTTCCCTGGTGCATAAGCTGGCCTGACAGGGGAGATCGAGTCCCTGAGAATCAGCAGGGGGGCACCAATAAGCGTGGGCCCAGGTCTGCATCCCCCTTGGAAAGTCTGCATGGGGCCACCACGCAGACACAAGCACCAAACATGACTTGCTCCAAGTCCCTCCAGAAACATGTCAAGTGGTTTGGCAGAGGGGAATAGAGAGCGTGTTAGAGAAGTGGAGCCTTTTCAGTATTTGTAAGGTAACAGAGAGACATGAGCGTTGTCAAGATGACAGTACCCCCAGCGACCAGCAGTGTGGCACCGGGGTCCCTTCCAGAGGAACACACCCACCTGTGTGAAGGAAACCTTTTCTGCAGCTCAGAAATAATTAAATCTTCCACGAGGTGATCTGTTTCTGTCACGAGGTCAGCAGCTGATGTTTTTGTGGAGACACGTTTTTCCTCAGAAAGGGCTTTTTTGATGATCTGAAATACAAGTACAGGAAAGTAAAGCAGGTAGTGAAATGGATGGTCTCCGCTTCCCCACCCTGGTCCCCGCTTCCCCACCCGCCAGACGAACGCGCCCTCGCCTCCTGTGTACCAACTGAATGAAGCAGGTGGCGGGCGTGGGGCTGAGGGCCACTGGCTGCTTCCATCACGGGCAGGCTGCGGGAGCTCAACACCACACCCAGGAGCTTCTGTTGGGGCGCCTAGTGAGCCTAACTACCCACTATCCTTCCACCAGACAGGTGGGCTCACTTGTTGAAGCTAGCCTGTCCTACCTGTGGAGCGATTCTCTGAAGGAAAAGAAAAAAGACCATGAATTTTCATCCAATGTAGGATGATGTAACTCACACGCCTTCGCCCCCAAGATTCCAATTTATTGTAAAAACGTATTTTCCCTAATTCACTTTATGCATCACATGGAGTGCATCACGCACTTGTGAATCCAGATTACAAACGTTCAAACGGGGAGACCTGGGAGAGGTTAAGAGGTCCTTCACCAACAGGAAGGCACGCTCTCCCTCCCTGCTGCTCTGGTCAGGGCAACACCGCCGGCCACGGCAGACGCACCCAGCGGCTGGCTTCGGTGCCAGGACCTCACTGACCCCCAGGTCTGGGCTCACAGGCAGACTACCTGGTCCAAACCTGCTGCGGCCAAATACAGAGGTGAGGCCTGGAGGGCACTTCCCGGTGCCTCTGGCCCGGACAGATCCAGCTCCAGGAACCCCTGGAAGGCCCACGCAGGAAGCCACGTGGAGTGGTTAATCAGTCACAGGACACCTTGGGAAGGACCAGGTCCACTCTGTGAAATAAAAGGCACTCCAGGCACTCCTTCTTCAGCCCGGGCCTTTCTTTTATATTTATCTGTTGTAAAAGCTCAGTGTCTCCCGCAGCATGACGACAAAGTCAGGACATCTAAACTCAAATTCAGACCTTTCCTCCAACACTGGCTACCACCTCAAGATCCTGCATTTCTTTCCAAAGCACCATCAGTCACTCAGCTACCCAGACTCCACATCCCCACTTTTTGTGCTCCTCACATTACTGCCCCCCCGAACAGGGCTGAGCCTGGACAGGTTTCCTTCCGTTTTTTATCTTGGTCACCAACAGATACATATTCCAGAAAATCAGAACATCAAGTGTAGTTTTGTAAATACTGCAAAAGACAAAGCATACAGCACTCATGCATAATCCATTAACATTTCTGCACCAGTCCCCAGACTGTCTGCCACGTGGGGTCTTCCTGGCCCCTCTTTTTGCAACACCCTGCCTAGCACTGTCAGGCTAATCTCCTTGAAATGTCAATTTGCACACAGTTAAGTTCCCACCAAACGAATCTCCACAGGTTCCGTGTTTATAAATTTGAAACTCCTCAAATCTAACTCCTATAGCACTGCCTTGTTCTCCAGGGATCCCTAAATTTTGGGCTAGTCCAGACCTCCTATCTATGTTATTTGGCAGTGAGCTTGTATTTTGTATGGCAATTCAGTGTGGTGCGTGTGTGTGTGTGTGTGTGTGTGTGTGTGTATGTGTGCGCCTATGTTTATATGTGCACGAATGTGATGTCTGTGTGGTTTATGCATATGCAGATGTGATATGTGTGGTTTGTATATTTGTGTGTGTAGCCATGTGGTTTATGTGGGTGCATGTGACCTGTGTGGTTTGTGTATCTGTGTGTGAGATACCTGTGTGGTTTATGTGCGTGAATGGGATATGTGTGTGCTCCCTGTGTGTGTGGGAAGGAGTGAAGGGAGTGTGTACGGTTGTGTGTGGGGTGTGTATACATATGGTTAGAGGGAAGGAGAGAGGAAGACCAGAGCACATGGCACCAGAGTTTCTCAAACTTCGCTGTGCATGAGTCACCCGGGGTCTTGCTGAAGTGAAAACTGGTCAAGTGGGTGTGGGGTCTGGGACCTGACATTTGCATTTCTGACAAGTTCTGTGGTGACACTGACACTGGGGGCCACACCAGAGTGGCTGGCCTGAGAGCAGGTTCTCAAACCCCAGAATGACACAGGGTCCTCAGGGGGCTGGGATGTTCTGAGCCGGTGCCACACACAAGTCCTGGGACTGCGACCCTGAGGGGACAAAGGCTTCCTGTTACCCGTGCCCCTCTCCGCACACGTCATGAGCATTCACGCAGATCAAGGTTGGGATGCCAACCGTGAACCTTGCAGTCTCTGGGGTGAAGCTAGAGCGATTTTTTTAAAGCATACGTTCGCTCCTATCATGTGAGTGCTTAGAACTGCCCAATGGCTGCTATGGCTTTTAGGAAAAAGCCCCAGACCTACACGTCCTCCCCTCCCATGGGCCACCCCCATGCTCGCCATCCCTCTGCCACTCTGGTTTTCTAGCTGATCCACACCAAATTTCTTTCTGTTCCAGGGACTTAGTATTTTCTGGTCTACCCAGAACTTCGTGCCATCTGAAATTATCCTGTTTGTCCCTTTAGTTGATGGTATGTCATCCCAGGAGAGCGGGAGATGCTCGATTTGGTTCCCTGCCACATCCCTTGCCTCTAGAACCATACCCGGCATAGAGTAGGTGCTCAGAATTCTTTGCCTTGTGAAGAAAATACACACCAGACTGCTTGAAGAGATTCTGCACATTTTTTCCAACTGGACCGTTACTGTTTATATCAACACTGACCACCTTGGTCTCTTTGTTTTGTTTCACTGTGGGTTTTGGTGACCTGGTGAGAAAGTTAAGATGTGCTCGGAGTCCCCTCCTCTAGCCTCCATCCACCGGCCCTACCCCCTGGAGCCAGCCGGAATCTGCTTTATGACACCCCTGTCCACTTACCACACGACAGTCAGCAGAGCTTGCTAAAGCCCTGATCTTAATCACGGATCTCCCCAGTGTAACGCACTTCATGGCTCCCTGGCACCGAGAACACAAAACCCCTGAAGGTGGCATAACCACAGCTTCTTGAGAGTTGATCTCTCACAGAGACTATCTGATCCCCAATAGCCAGTATTCTCTTCTTTTTTCTCGAACAGGAGCCCAAGGTTTAGCAAGGCTCAATAGCTCACATCTCTCTGTCTCTTGTGCAGGGAGGCGTGGCCCTGTGCTCTGTCCAAGAGGAGGTGAACGTAAGGGATGTGTGCAACTTCTGAGTCACACCCTTAAAAGGCCACGGTTTGCACACTACTCCCTCCCTGTCCTTTTCGCCTTTGCCACCAGTTGGCGATGTGGCTGTGGCCAGAGGTCAGCTTTGGTCACGTGGGAAGAGAGCACCTCCTTAAAGCAACAAGTGACAAGGAGCCTGGGTCCCTGAGCGACTTCAAGAAGCAGAGCCCCCATTCCCCAGACTTCACTGGGCTGCTGCGGGAAAGAGAAAGAAACCTGCTTTGCTTCTGTCGCTGGTCTGTGAAGGAAGCCAAACCAGCAACCTAACAAGCGGGCCTCATCTGACCTCTGCATGCTCGTGTCCCGCCCCCTCCTCGCTCCATGACTGCTGTGCTCCAGCCAACGTAATCATTCACCCTCAAGCCTACCCCCACAGAACCGCCAGCCTTCTTCTGGCCCATGGGTTCTCTTTGGGACTCCGCTCACACATCACCTCCTCTCTGACGAGTCTCCAGCCTCTGCAGGCAGAGGGGCGTCGGCCCTCCAAGCGTGCTGCTAGGGCACTTGGGCAAGCCGCACAGCCGACCCCTCACGATTCCACGTTGGTCCATGCCGGGAAAGGAGCTCCGTCCATCCTGTCTCTGTATCCACCTCCCATGGGTAGACTTTGCGCCCTACGCAGGGCCTGCCCCACGGTCAGGTCTTGAGGGACATTGGAATGAAGATTTCCTGGCTGCCACACACTGAGCTCCTAGGTAACTCAAGAGGAAAGCCTTTTCAGCAAATGTTCTTGGGAAGCCCTGCGATTTATGCATTTGGTCTTCCAGATCCAAAATACACCCGACTCTGGTGTGCTGAGGAGCGGCACACTCGGGACCCGTGTGGGCAGTCTGGGGAAGGTCTGACGGCACCTGGGCATGCTTTCCGGAGGACCCAGACCCTCACTACAAATCACACAGAGGGGAGATTTATGGATGCAGGAGGAGAGGGGCGAATCATGTACTTTCTCAAAATATTTCTTGTCCGTGTCTATTAATGTTTATTACTCCTGTGCTATGATCATTTCAATGTGGGCATGTGTCACAAGGAAAGCTGTGGAGCTGGCACACCCCGCGTCCCAGCGGCAGGGCAGGCCCCACCGCCATCCTTGTTCCCTGGCAACTTGCAGTGCGGTGCTATGGCCAGCCTCCCTCTCTCACCCGCTGTTGCTGCTCCAGGCCCTGGATCCCATCCACTGGGATACCTTAACTGCTCCCTCTCATCCACTGAGACGCCCAGATAGGCAGATCCCATTTCTGAATGATTTCCAAAACCCAACTCTGCTAACATTCTCCCATGGCCTGCCATCACCTGCTTGTGTCGCTCAGCCTCCAAACTGCCTTTGGCCTTGCTCCTTTGAAGCGCTGTCCGCTCCGAGCACAGCAACCTCTCCAGAGAGCCAGTCTCGCTCCTGGCACCCCCTGCGGCTTTGTCGGGCCCCCCAAGAGGATGGCAGGCCCACGTCCTGTGGGTGAGGACATCTGTGGCCAGCCTGTGCAGCACTTGTCCCCACTGCCACACTCAGTCACTCTCTGCTGTTCTCCCTTCCACAGCTTTGTCTTGGGACACGATGTTCCTTCCTCCTGCAACGGCCGACCCCGTTTGTCCTGGAGGACCTGCTCCCATCTGGCTCCTCCAGGAAGCTGCCTATGGATCCCTCCGCCCACTCACCCTGGGTGAGGCTCTTCGTCTTGGCTCAGTGGTTCCCACAGTACCAGGCACATTTGGTTAGGGCAAACACACATCACTGGAAGGCACCACCTTCTAGATGCTTCTGGAGGGCAAGGAGCTCTGCCTTCCATAGTAGCAGCCCTAGAACCCAGCCCTCCCTCACTAGGTAGGCCCCACCAGGCCCCACACCACTTCCCATAACA